AGGCCGGAAAGCAAGATCCCAGGGCCCCGAAGGAAACTATGCGGTGGGGTTATGCGGAGAGAAGCTGGTAGCTAGGATTCCTGGCCTACAGCAGTCGGCTCTACGTAAGCCCGCCTTAGGTCCCCGTACTCGCACGCAGAATCAGTAGTCTGAATTGCTCCTTTCTCTGTGAAACAATCAAACAATTATCTGACACTGGACGAAACCAAGCCCCTAGCCCGGGAGGGGGGTTATGGGCCATTCTTCTCCAGTCGTTGCTTTTAGTCCCCTAGCGAGTGGCCGCTGCAAACAGGCACGCTGCTGCAAGGCTCAGAAGCCTTGTCCCCCACCCCTCGCCCTTTGCCAGAAACATGGAGGGGGTGCTCGCCCGTTTCTTTCCCTGAACCCAGTAACCTCCCCCTCGACTCGCCCGACTTCTTAACTGGCCCCTCCCGGCACTTGATGAGGTCACTCTTCAGCTGTTGTAGGAAAAGTTTATTTTGCAGATTTTCGAATCGGAGGCTAGTTAGTGTGTGTGTGTGTGTGTGTGTGTGTAGGGGGGGGTCTTAGCTGTTTCTGGCAGGGAGGGGACTGATTTCTATCTAGGCAGCTCTTTTGCATGCTCTTTAGTTCCCAACAGTTACTCTCCAGAGTGGGTGGAGCTGGTGGGAATGTTGCTTTTGCAGACCAATCCTCTGCTATATGCAGTGGTGGGGACTCTTTCCCAGACGGGTAAGTTTTACCTCGGAGTTTGTTTTTTATGATTGTTATGCTGCGCTTCCGCTGATGCGGATAAAAATTCTGATTGCCTTTATTCCTAGTGCTATAGAAGTAACCCTAGGAAACTCTCCGCACTCCCTCCTTTTGTTTCCCCAAGCAAACTAGGAGTTTGTTTGTTCAAGTATGCATATTCTTGTTGCAAAGAGCAATGATCTTGTCTCATTTTAGCTGGAACTCAGAGCTGTTCAGAGTAGTGAGGCTGGAGGAAGGGGATCTCTCTCCGAAGGAGATTAACGGTGGAAGAAGAATTGAGGGTGGGCCGACAAGATACTTTATCCTTCTGGTGTCCAGGTTATGCTAGCTGTCTCTCGGCACTTTTGTATAATGCACTCCTTAGCCTAATACTTAGGTAGTTAAATGCACAGATGAGACCGGCTCAAAAGAAAAGAAGGAAGGAACTGAGAGTGAGCGACTAAGTCTCCTCCTACCAAGGAATCTCACTTCTGAGGCATGACCTGGTTTGTGTTACTATGGATCTTCCTAAAAGTTCTTTAACCATCTATAGAACTTCGTTGCAAGCCCTGCGCGTTGAGCATTGCTTGCTAATTCCTCCACCCACCTCCCAGATTCCCAGCTGCGTCCTTGCCTCCCTCTCCTGAACATAAGCTTGCTAATAGTGATATTCTAAACTGATTCTAGCTCTCTGATCCCAAAGGGAATATTTCCGTTAAACTCCGCACTGTTTTCCTGTCTGGGATCCAAGCCATGGTAGGGGGAAGAAGAGGAGCCGGCAGCACCTCTGTGGCTGTGCTTGTATGCATACCCAGCAGACACGCACGCCAATAGCTGGGGCTTGATGAGCTGTTCGTTGGTTCAGCTGCAGTGCTAAACGTGGCACATGTCCGTGCAATGATGTGCTTTAAAATGTTTGGTGTGCGGAGCTTACGGCCAGTGAACTTGACTGAGATTTAATTTGAGACAGCACTGTTTCTCCCCAGACTCAGCTTCGGACTGAAATCAAAGTTGGTTCATCATGTACATGAAAGTAACAGTAAAACTGCTTTGCAGCATATGTAGCGTGGCTCCCCCTCTTACTTTCTCCTACCTCCTCCGGATAACTGTCACCAGCCCTGATGAACTTTGGGTTTAGGAGTAGGCTCCTGCAAAGTAGATGGGGATGCTTTCCAACTAATTCTGCTCGGACCCCTTTGGAAGTGGACCGTAGTGAGTTAATTCAGAGGCACGGGGTTTCTGTAGAATTAGCACTTACTATACTCTTTTACCATGGCCGCCTCTGAAGCGTGCTGGCAACTGCAGTCTCCCAGTGGAGAGGCTTCTGAGGAAAGCCTGGACAGGTTAGAAACCCTCCATGTCACATCTGAATTAAGTCAAGAGAGTGTGACTCTATAAGCAGCTTTCCAAATTCCGTGTTTTCTCATGTGAGCAGTTTTTACTAGGAAATAAGAGGACACTCGCATGGTAATTGCTATGCATGATAAATGCTGTGTCTAACGTGTGTATCATCTCGTTGCCAGTGGCTCTTTCCAGCACACATACAGGAACCAGCGTATACACATGTGTGATCATGAAACGTGCTCTTTCCTTAGAAGGAGACATGTGACTTGCTCTGCAGCCCTGTGAAATGAGTTCCTATTTGCCTCCTTTAGTCATGCTTGAGGTGCCTTAAAATACGGATTTTAAAAACCTTTTGGTTGTGGAGCCACCTTAGCGCCTGACAGTACAGAACTGAAAGGAAAACCAGTAAATGTAGTTCAAAACTGGTGTGATCTTGTGATGATGGTGTAAGAGAATTGCAACTTGCGAACACTGGATTGGCCTCAGCACCACTTCCCTTGCAATTAGATCCCCTCCTCTCTCTGTGCCCCTGTAAATTTGCAGTGCCCTCTTGTGCAGAGTGCTTCTTCCAGTTCCAGGGTGTGATTGAATTAAGGTGGAAGCCTCGGAGATGTGGCTTCACAGCTCACTGCCTGTTTGCGCGGTGCTCAGCAAGGGCTGAAGCTCAGTGGTGGCACACATGCTTTGCCTGCAGGGGGTCCCAGACCTCTCTCCGGGTAGGGGTGGGAGAGAGCCCTGCCTGAACCCCTGGAGCTGCTGTGAATCACTGTCAGGACCTGTGATCTGACCCACAATGAAGTGAACTCCAGCCACTTCTGCCTGGGACTGGTGCCCTACCTTGTCAGTTGCTGGAAGCCTGACTTCTACAAATGGAATGGAAACTGCATATAGGCAACGTTGCCAAACAGAAATGGTGAAAGTAAAAAAAAAGAAATAAGGTGATCTGTTTATGCTCTGTGAGTCTGTGATGTTCTGAAAGAGGGGGCTTTTCTTCAAGAAAGTGGGCACTTGGCAAACCTATTTATGCAGGAGTCCTGGGGCCCTGTATACTTCCTTGCCTTTCACCCAGCTTGAAACAGAACCCATATTTAACATGATGGATACCTTCCCCCCGAAGCTGGGAAGAGAGCCCAGACTTCCTGGCTTCTCATGCTACCTCCTCTTCCAGTTCACTAGGCTTTCTCTACAGAACTGGGAATAGGACCCAGAAGTCCTGGCTGGTGACCAAATTTAAATAGTACTTGAATTCAGATGTAATTATGGATATCCACCTCTTTGTCCCCCTTGTCAGCCTCAAAGCTGCCCCCATTGACCCCTCCCATATGCATAAAGTTTGGCTTGGATTTGATGTGATGGCTGCTATGTTGGGGGAGGGGGAATTACATTGTTGCTAATTCCTTTGGGGAGGGGGATTAGTCATGTTTCTACTACTTAAGTCATGTGAATAGATTAACCCTTAGGACCTGGGAATGGGGTAGGCAACAGGATGTTTTGTAGCCAGAGATGGAAGAATAAGGTGGATAGGCTGTTGCAAACATAAGAAGGCCTTCAGTCTGCCCCACTGGAGCTCTGTCTAGGGCAGCTTCAAGTTTTTCACCGTGCCCAGCCTGATGCTCCAATCAGAAGTCCGCAAACAGGACATCCCACTTGTGGTCCCCAGCAGCGTCTCTGAAAATGGAGGTAGCCAGTAGCCATCCTAACTGGAAGCCCTTGGTAGCCTTACCTTGCATCATTTTGTTACATCATTTCAAAAGTTGGTGGCCATCTTTTCCTCTTATGGTAGCAAATTCCATAGTTCCTGTCTGAAGAAGTACTTTCCCTTGTTGGAACCTTCCACAGGTTTGGTTTCATTCAGATTTCTAGTACTGTATATGAAAGAGAACTGCTGTCCAATTTTATTTCTATTCTGCTTTCTTCAGTATCTTCTGACCAATTATATATCCCTCTATCTCCTCCCCCACCGCACCTTACTCACATTTTCCCTAAACTAACAGTCCAAAAGATGATAGTCTTTCCAGCCACTTGATTTTTCTGGCTGCCCTTTTTGCAGCATTTCCTGCCCTGCAGTATATTTTTTGGGGTGCAGTGTATGAGTGGCAGTGGGAGGGGAACATGTAGAGGTCAGGCAAGCTTGTCCAAGAGTCATGGGAGGGTTAAAAGAAATGTTTCTTTTGCCAACAAAAGTTTTCTGATGATAGTGCAATCATAAACCAAGGACACACTGGCTTACCTTGCACATTGACACCACTTTCCACCAATAGATGTCAGGACATTTTTATTAAACCTCCTCATATAAGCACCATTTTGATGCTTGCTTTCCTCTTCTGTGTTCTCCCCCCCCCCCCCCCGCTTCCTTTCTTTGGCTCTACTGTTCTTTGGTGCTGCCCTCTTCCTCTTAATGCCAGTAAAATCACATTTCAGCCTCAGTTGCTGCTCTTCCCCTCTTCTCATCAGGTACCTTGCATTTGTATTCTCGCCCAACACCATGTGCAGGAGATCCGCTAAAGCTGGACTCCGGGTATAAATCCAGAGCCCACCCCCCATAACTGCCAGAGGAGGCAGCAGGTGATGGGAGAAGAGTGCTGGTAGGAAAAAATAAAGCCATCACCCAGTGCGGGTGCAGCAGCTGATGCCTCCATTTTTTTCTTTAATGTTTGCATGGCAGGCACCCTGCATAGACAGCCTAGCTAAACGTTACTTCATGTTATGTTGCTTAAGGGGCTACTTTTGGCCTCCACTTGCTAATTTGGATGGGGGAGGAAAGGGGCAGCGCGTAAGGGACAAAAGTGGTACTGGGGGCAAGCAGCACTAGGGGAAAGAGAGCGGGGTGGGGCGTGGGATCCTGAGAGGGTGTCTTGCACAGAGGTCCTGTCCATTCTGGCAGAGGGACAAACCACTTGCCTTGAAGTGTAACCTGGAGGAGCTGGTGAGGAAAGTCAGGGTCTCTAACGGTGCTACTGTGAGAAGAGGAGTCGGATGGTTTGTGGCTTTCTAAAGTCCTCTAGTACTTGTGATTAAAGCCCAGGCAAAACTCTCTTCCCAGGCTGTCTCTCCCATTCGAATGGCTCTTGAAAGCTGAGCTGCGGCCTTCCTGGTGAGAATGGATCCAACCTCGCTGCTTCCACTTGTTCTTACCCCGGACCCGCGCGGGTTTAACCAAGGGGCAGCAGAGCCCGGCGAGCTTCCTGTGGATCCCTGCAGCCTCCTTTCTGAAAGACACTATGAGGTGGTGCCTTGTGTGATCTGCGCTCTCTGCTGTGTTTTTGGCGTGGTTTACTGCTGTTTTGGTGAGTAGAGGGAAAGGAGAGGGGCTGCTCGGGCTCTCCTTCTCAGCCTTCTGTCTTGCTCGCCTTCTGAACTTCCTGCTTCAGAGGTTGATAAGCAGACACATTCTATTGTGCAGACGATGTGGAAAGCAGGTGAAGGACACGTCCTTAGCCATTAGTATGGACATGGAAGTACCATTTCCAAAGCTGACGTTTTTCCCATCTCCTCGAGCTTTTTTATCTCTGGGTATCTGCAAACTCTGTGTGCGCACATGCATCTGTGTGTGTGCAAAGTACATGTTCTGAAATAAATATATATTTCATGCAGCCCTAGCCTTGAAGTATGATCTTTGTTAGAATTTAAAAACATCAGGATTTCATTGACACACCCTTTCAAAGCATCAACAAAAGTTATTAGCTGACAAAGTTATTTTCTTACTAGCCTGCCAGGCATAGCACCTGTGTCAGTCATTTGCTGCTCAAGGACAGCTTGAAAGGAGTGGAGAACGAAGGGAACAAAACTCAACTCTTTCCCAGTGTTCCCTTGAGTAACGTAGCAGTGATCCTTCCGTGCTGTGCTGTGGTGCTGAACACATGAATGGTGACATGGAAGCCATATTAGCAACGCTGCGTGTTAGTATTCCACCAAAAAAGCCAGTTCTCTGTTGACCAGCATGCTCTGTAACAAGCTAGATGAGCAACTGGTGGAAGCGGCAACAGGTTTGGAGGGGCTCTTGTTCCACATTCTGCTTGTCTCCCCTGCCCCAGCAAATTGCAGCTCTTTCCTTTTCTTCCCTGCCCCACTGGCTTTGCACAAAGAGGCAGAGTACAACCCCCACCCCTTTTTAAAATTCAGTATGCTTTTATCACACCTTTCTTTAAACAGGTCGTGATGCCATACATAGTTCTTCCCCCATCTCCCCTTGAACCTCTTTCTGTTAGTTTTTGTTAATATGTGTGCATAAATTTGTATAGCAAGGAATGCATATAGGATGGATTTATATGAACATACATTTTACTAGTGATGATACAGCACGTTCATCAAAAGTCCACCAAATGCCCAAATAAGTATTCATTGTATGCCCCCCATTTAAATACCAAAAGGCTGATATGGTCCTCAATCCATCGCATTAGTGGAGGCGAGCACTTATCCTTCCAATGTTGTCAGAACAGTCCTTCCACTGCCGAGAGAACACAGAGAATCCATTAATGCTGACCATTAATTTCTATGAAGAGGATATGTAAGTTCAACGCATTCATACATTAGCAGATATTAAAGACTGTTCCAGTACAACACTTATCACTATAATAAATTCCCTTCATAAGGAAGCAACTACTGGATATTGTCCAAACATGTTCAGAAGAAGCATTAGCTGCATTGTACCACCAGCTACTCGCCAAAATGGACAAATACATATTAGAAAGATATTGCAGTACCCAACAGGCATGAAGCTGTTTGCTGAACACTTGGGACGTACAACAGTCTTATGAGGTAGCCTAGGCCAGAAGATTGCAGCTGGCCCAAAGTTAGCCAATGAGGCTGTGTGGGGATTTCAACCCAGGTCTCGCTGTGCCTGACCTGCCATTCTGGCCCTAGCTTCCCCAAACTGACACCCTTCAGATGTTCTGGTTGTCAAGTCCCATCAGCCCCAGACAGCATGGCCAGCAGTCAGAAATACCGGATATTGTAGTCCAAAATGTCTGGAGGGCACCAGGTTGAGGAACCCTGAGCACTGCGACACACATGGGCACCCCGGTGCCAGTGCAAGCCAGATGAAGAAAATAAAACCATTCTGCTGCTCCGTGGACTAGCTAACCTGGGGATTTTAGCCTTTGGCCAGAGAGCAACAAGAGTGGAGGAGATGGCTGTATGTTTTCATTGTCTGAACTCACAGCTCCAGAAGGAAAAAAACACCTCCATAAACAGAAGGTGGTTTGTTCTCAGTCAAAAATTACACCCTACCCCTAATGCTCAGTGCACATCTCAGTTGTGCTAAATCTCCAAAGTCTAATCAGAACAGTGTGTCCTTCATACTTGATCTATTTCAAATAACTTCAAGTAACAAGCATTGTTTCGTGGTGGTTGTGATAGCGGTACGTCTGCGTCATAAACTGCAGTAAACTTTTGTTTTGAACGTTTACAAAGGGGGGTACTTTTCACAAACGCCTTTCCTTTCCCATGTTTTCTGCAACTTCATATAAGGGTAAACGTCACCATGCTGAGAACATGGATGGCACCTTTCATCCGTTGCCCCGCCAGAGGTGGAAAGAGTCCAAGGTGAGCACTTCTCCAGTGACCTTTCTTCCACGTCTGTCTTTAGGTTATCGCTGCTTCAAAGCCATCATGTTCCTCTCGGGCCTGCTCTTTGGCTCAGCTGTGATCTTCCTGCTTTGCTACAAGGAACGCATCTTGGACACGCAGCTGAGCCTGGAGGTGAGCGCCGGCATTGCCCTGGGCATCGGAGTCCTGTGCGGCCTCGTCACCATGCTGGTGCACTCAGTTGGACTGTTCCTGACGGGGCTTCTGCTTGGCATGCTGGTGGCCACAGCTGGGCTGGTGGCTACCGAGCCCCTGTACGCACTGCCCAGCGCGTGGGTCCCTGCCGGATCTCTTCTGGGCTCGGCACTCCTGGGCGCGGTGATGGCCTTGCGCTGGCAGAAGGCCCTCACGGTGATCTCCACAGCCGTGTTCGGGGGCGCCGTGCTCACCCTCTGCTTGGACTATGCGGTTGAGAACCTGGCCCTGGGCCGCCACATCTATGAGCGCCTCCGCCTGGCACCGCCTTCCCCGTTCTGCTGGTGCGGCTGGGCCGTGCTGGCCACCTGGCCTGTCCTCGCCCTGATGGGGGTGCTGCTGCAGTGGAAGGTGACCGCCGAAGGCTTCTCCCACACTGATGGTGAGTGGATGGCTCGGGCTGGGGCTGAGAGCGGGGAGGGGCTGGGTGGGGTTTGGATGGGACGGAGGAGCCCACAAACAAGCGCATGGGCCCCGTTCTTTCTCCCCAACACCCTGCCTGTCTTGGGGGCACTTAGGAAGTGCCACAAAAGACAGCAGTATGTCCTTTTGGGGGATTTGTGCCAGTAGAAATGCAAGCTTAGAAGCAGTTGCCCTCTCACCTCCGTCTGGCAGAAGACCCTATGTGCCTGCCTGCCCTCTCAGGTGCTCAGTGTTCATTGGCAGCAGGGCAGCCCTTCAAGCAGAGGACCATCCTCCGTAAAAGAGGCCACGCTTAAGTCCTATATTCAGAGCTAATGCATGTGTGCAATGGGGGAAGAGCCGGCACATGCACAGTTCACGCTGGCAAGACCAGCACAGCAGCAGGAACTAGCCAGAGCTAGCAGAGACAGCCGGCGCACATGTAGTTGAAGAGAGCTGTTATAATTTGGCGCGTGCGCTGGTTCTCTGCTAGTCTCTGAAACTGAAAGAGTTTGAGAGTACGCCTGCCCTGGCTCAGAGCTTTCAGACTTGTTTGGAGATTGTTTTCTCCGAACAAGTCCGAAAGCTCCGAGCCAGGCTGGGTAAATGACCTTGGTGGGCCGTATCTGGCCTGTGGGCCATAGTTTGAGGACCCCTGCTTAAGTCCATGTGGAAGCTGGAGAGGTGGCCATGGGTCGGGAGAGGATGTGGCATCCATGGGGTGATGAGTGGGTCTCTTGTTCAAGTGGGGGGAAGCTAAGAGCTTCCAGGAGATCCTAAGCAGATTCTTGCTACCTCAGGTGGGAGGTCCATCAAATTCCTCATGCTGCAGGGCCATGAGATGCCTCTGGGAAGCTTACAAGCAGGGCAAGAAGACAACAGCGATTCCTTGTTGCTTGTCTGCAGCATGGCTGCTTTAAACATTACTATTTATTTAAAGTATTTACTCAAAGGAGTGGGCTAACTGATACACAGTCTCCATAAAGCCGTGAATAAATAAAGCAGTTGCATCAAAATTCAGAAATACTAGCAGCATCTGACTGCATTACAAATTATAATTTAAAAAGCTGGTGTGCCAGCAGATACTTTCTACATGGAAGGGAAGGGGAGAGGCACATCTTTCCAGAAGCAAGGTGCACAGCCAAGAGGGACTCATTCCTCATGGCCTCTCACCTCCTGCAGAAGGAGGGGATGCTCCAAAACAAGAAGTCTGAAAAAGATCCTAAAGCTCAGGCCATCTCACGTGGGAACCAGCTGTGTTTAGGTATCCTGGACCCAAGACACACAGGACTTCAGAGGTTAAAAGCTGTGCTGTGAATTAGGTCTGGGCATTCATGTGTGTTAAAGTTATCTATTGTTAGTTGTAATTGGTCTCAGTGAATTTGATCCTTGGTGCAAAGTTTTGCGCCAAAAAGAGAATGAGTGTCTGGTGTCTGTTGTACAGTTGCACCATGCGAGTGTGAACCATGCCTAGAATCCTCCTTTTCGAGGGCAGGGCACATTTCTGGCCTTGAAAACTGAGACGAGAGGCTTGAAAGTAACACTGGAAGCAGTCCAGGCAGGGTCTGCCTGCACATGAGGGCGTGGGCAGCAGCAGCGGGTGTGCAAGTTGCGTGCCCTGCATTGTGACTTTTCTCCCTGTGAGAACTGAAATGAAACCAACTATGTATGGGAATCTCTCCATTACCCGCACATTACTTTAATTTGAATATGGTGCACCATTTATATCACAGTTTTTCTGAGCATAGAGCTCGGCTCAAATGAACAAAAAAGAGAGCAAGTGAAGTAGGCAATTGGGAGACATGATACAGATGTTGACTCTCCCAACCCGGTACCCTCCAGCTGTGTTGCTCTGCAGATCCCATAATTCCTCATTGGCTGGGAAGGCACCATAAAGAAGCTGTGATAGGGTGCCCCCAAAAAGGAATGACCGAGAGTTTGGGTTGGGGTCAAGTGTTGTCTCCCCCTGCTCTCCAGATCTGAATGTCTGGTTAAGAATGAAAGTTTTATGGTTCCCCCACAGCGGAAGAGTTTCCCCAGGTTGGGGTGGGAGCTTCCATTTCCTTTCCAAGCACGGCCAGGTGATGGGCTGTCCCCTTGATGGATTTGGGATCAGCAGTATCTGGCTTCACAAACCTGTCCTCTTTCCCAGTGATCCTGAATCGGCGCCAGAAACAGCTGCAGCTGTTACGGATCCGGCAGCGTGAAGCCAAGAAGAGGCAGAGCCAGGCTCCCCAGGAGGGCTCGTACCGGCACAAGCCCAGCGCTGTCAAGCGCTGTGCAGGAGATGTCCTTGCGCCAGTGAGTGGTTGAGGGACGAATGGTGTGTCTCACGAGTGCTCTGGGTCCTAACCTCCATGAGTCGAATCTTCACCCCTTTTGTGACCACTTTGCCATGCCAGCCTCCCTGCGCTGTGCCCTCTGAGCCTCCCTCAGTGGATCCTGTAGTCCAGCTGGAGGAGGTTAGACTGCACTTCCCATCCTCACTAGCCAGCACAGCTAATGGTGAGATCTGATGGGATTTTCAGCCCATTAAACATCTAGAGGACCACAAGTGGCCTGACTAGAGCAAAAGCAGGCAATGTTGGCCATGGGATGGGAAGGTGGGCAAGATTTACCATCTGAATGTGTAATGGGATGGTCTCACCTCTCTCACCCTTTTCTCCTACAAATGGTGCCTAGTTTTCTCCTTTCACTCCTGAATGACTGCATTCCCAGACCACCCTTGACAGCTGCATTTGCCTTTTGTTGATGGATTGAATCCTCTGCTTGCTTGAAGTAGGGGAGCACTCTCCCCTTCATAGCACTTCCAAGCAATGACCATTGCAATCTGCCTTGAAGTAATGGGATCTTAGAGCTAGAAGGGACAGGAGGTCATCTAGTCTGACCCCTGCCCAAAGCATCAAGATCATCTGCCTGCCCTTGCTAAGACCACTGGAATCTAGACTCAGTGTCACAGTAGAGTCTATTCACTAGCAGGGCTTTGCAGGGCTTTCCTTGGGGCCCCTCTGATTGGGAGGACCTTCACCCTGATCCCTGACGCACAAGGACTCCGTATGGTTGATCTGTGATAAAAGAAGCATAACATGAGAAGTGTCCATGAACTAGAACTAGACCAGTGGCCTTTCCAGTCCAACGTTTGTTTCCCATGGTGGCCAGCCAGCTTCCTGTGCCCCCGCAAGCATGCAAGAACACCTCCTGGGCCTGTCACGTGTTCCTGCAAGCTGGACTGGCCACGACTTCGTTGTATGTGTCCCAGTTCCTCCAGGCACTTGCGTTCCCTTTCGGAGGCTGCTGGGCATCGGTAGCAGCAGTCTGGTGCTGCTGTCAATACAACTGGCACATAATTTGAGTTGCCCACACTCCCCAGCGCAGCAAGGAAATAGGTCGCTCCCCTTTCGCAGGCCTTGATCTGACGTCTCTCTCTCTTTCTCCACCCCGCACCACGAAGAGTTACATCCAGAGCCTGCGTGACCGCCAGCAGCTGAGAAGTGGCACCTCCTTGAGCAACCTGAGCAGCAGTGCTCACACCGCTGTGGACCTGGACTACGACTGTGGCTCCACCGTCCCCCTCACCACGCCCCGCGGGTGCCTCTGAGGGGGCTCGTTTCTTCTTCCGCCCGTGCCTTGGGCAGGCACGAGCACGACTTGCGACTTGGGTCTTGAATATTTTTGCCTTGTGTGCAGGCACCCTTGGCCAGCCTGCCACATCTTTTTAATGCCTTTTTTAAGCTCTTCAGAGCAGAGGGCTCCATTCCCTGCCCTCCTCTGGGTACGGGGCTTGAGACCACTTGTGACTGAATCAAAGCAGCAAGAGAGGAGGGAGTTAGAAACATGTTAATTTATTTCCAGTTAGGGCAAGGGAAGGGAAAAAAGCCACTTTCTGCTGCAGGGTATCTGCACCCGCCTTCCAAAGTATGCATGGACAAACTGGATGTTCTAGGGTGGCTGTCCCTATCCTTGAAGCTAGTTTGGTATCCATCCTTAAGCCAGTTCAACTAAGCCATAGCCATACCCCTTGCTTTTAATGAAAGGGTGATTCAGCCTAGTTTGCCGCATATCCAGGGGGGAAACTCTTAACTTGTGTATCTTTTGGTTGACATAAGCTGTTCTTTGTTGGAACTTGACTTTGGGTAAAACAGCTAGGCCATTTGAAATAGGTAATCGCACCACAAGTTGATCTGGGTATATTGGTTTGATCCGTGTTACTTTTGCAACGTGTCAGCATACGATAAAATCCTGGGGGAATGTTCACCTTTTCCCTACATAAAAAGGGAAATACCCACCCTTTTTGGCTTGCTTACATAAAGAAAAGGAAAAGTTTCCTCTCCTTTACAGCACAAACTTGCACAAAATTAATCAAGACTGAAAATGCAGAATCTCTTTCAGCCTGGGGGGCAAGTTCCACTTCAGAGAAGCTCTTGGAGACTGCATTCCTCAAAGGGGTGCATTCAGCAATACCAGAAAGAATCACAAAGGGTTTAAAGCCCTTACTGCTGGTAACTTAAATCTTAGGAGAAGCATTTCAGCCTTTTAGAATGGGGGAAATGCACACGGAAATCATCATGTGATTGGCTTTAGGGCTAAGGGAAGGGGGCATGGCCATTTGTGAAGCGTGAGAGGGGGGCCTGAGGGCCAGGTTTGGCCCTTGGGACAGAGGTTCTGCATCCCTGCTCCAGATCAAACTTTTAGTTTTACACCTCTGAGCCCTACTCAGGTACTCCCCCGGCACACAGTCACAATTGCCCTAGAGTAAGGCACCATCCTCCCATGGCCTCAGCCCGCCTTTATCCCTCCAAATGTTCTTGGTTTTGCACTCCCATCAACCCTTGCTAGTCTGGCTAAGGATCAGGGGAATGATGGGTGTTGGAGTGGAACAACATCTAGAGGCCTGCAATTTCCGTCCCCTTCCCTGGGGGAAGGGGTCCCCCATCAGATTCAGCATGCTGACTACCGCACTTCTAACTCACGGGAGATGCTGCATTTTAGACTTCAGACTTTTCCCTCCAACACAGCAGTGGCAGCAGGGTCAGGATGATGCTTGTGCCATCTGGCTCCCCCACTTTCAGGGATGGTAGTAATGTAAGAGTTGAGCCTCAAATAGGACTCTTAACAGCCGTTCCAAATGCCTTTTTGAACCTTTTAGTGCCTTACCTACACCAGAATGGTTTTCCCTTTAACTGGACAATGGTGCTTTTAAGAACATACGGGCAACGATGTGGACCATTTTTATAAACAGCAAAACCTGAATTAACTGTAGGCTAACCACTCAAATCCCAGATCACGAACTGAAATTAATCTGGATTCAGTGTGTACATGCTGGGTTCGAATCTTGTTCAAGAGACTGCTCTTGATTATCGGAGATTGTTTCCTGTGGACTTGTTTTTGGTTTTGTTTTGGGTTTTTTGGCTACTGTTTTGTAACTCCTGTTTGTAATACTTAACACAGAAGCATTTGTGCTGTGCTGTGCTGTGCTGTGCTGTCTCCAGAATTGCATGCTCTGCTTGAAAGAGGTTTGGTGGTGCTTGCCTTCTGAGTGCCCTTGCAAAGACCTCCACCATCTATGCATATACGGACATAGAGCAAGTCAGAAGGGGCCTCCTGGGCCATCTGTCTGACCCCCGGCACCAGCCAGCTCTGCTCATGATATGCCTACCATGTGCATGTCTAGCCTATCCTTGAACACCCTCGCCAATGGGGCCTCAACCACCTCCCGTGGAAGCCCATTCCATACCCTCGGGGTCCTAACTGTCAGAAGTATTTCCTGCATCCAAATTGAACCTTGGTTCCCTGGCGTCCTTCCTTCCTCTGCAGGGAAGAACAGGTCTCTACCCACCTCCATGTGACACTCCCTCGTGTACCTATATGTCACCAATAGATCCCCTCAGAGTCTTCTCCAGGCTGAAAAGACCCAGTTCCCTCAGTCTTGCCTCATACGGCTTTCCCTGCAACCTGGTCACCATCCTTGTGGCCCTACAAATTTTTTTCAGCCAAAAGACCAAAGCCAGTTCCAAGAAAGCTCCAAGGGGAAGCAATTCCAGTGTGGAGAAGGCCTGACCCTCAAAGCACCAGTGTTTGGTAGCTTCGCTCTGTCAGTTGCTAAGCAGAAGTGCAGTGAGGTCATTCAGCTTTTAAGAATGGGGTAAAAAGTGCCAAAGCTGGGAATCCACTTTTAACTGGTGCTCAGATGAAAGGGGGCATGTGCAGCAAGGGGTGTGCTCCATCCGTGTAACTCAGAGGACTGGATTTAGTCCCCAGGGATGATAATGCTGGGTGAGGGGACTGAGCTTTTCCACCCATGGCCTGGAGAGGAACAGGAGAGATGCAACTTGGCCTGAAGAGAAGCATCTTCCAGCCATCACCTCTCCTCTGACAGGTGATAGTGAAGGTCTAGCCCAGCAAGCTCATCTCAGTTTTAACGAGATTGAACTATGGACTTTCTGGATGTAAACTCTTCTGTGGAAGGGCGAAAGGTTTTCTCTGACTTTGAGAATGTAAGATGTTCGTGTCCACGGGAGGGACAAAGTAGGGTGAGAAGCAGATGGCAGGGTTTTGGGAGGGGAAGGGAAGGAGAGGCAGTGCCCCATAGTGTGGGCACTGTATTCCTTTTGCCCCACTTTTGCCTGCTCTAGTTGATTTTGCGGTTAAGGACCTGCATGAACAGAGGAGGCGGCCTCCTCCTCCTTCACAGCTTTCAGTCCAAATATGGTAGTCTGGCTTTGTCGTGAGCCTTGTGTCTCCTTCCAAGCAATTTCAGTCTTGTCAGTGTCCCTTTCCTAAAAACCTTTGTTACGTTCAAGGCTCTGATCATACACAAAGCGAAATGTTGGACCTTTTTTTACCAAAAAGTTTACGAACCCTTCTGCCTCTCTCGCTGGTGGGAGGAGCAGTGTGGAAGCGGGCCTGCCTTCACTCCTCCCGCTGCGTCCCTGAACACTGCCTAGTGATTGCAACTGGTCCTACCAGTTCCCATGCCGCCTCCCTTGAGAGGCTGCAGCCCCTTCCCATTCCCATGGCTGGGTTGCCTGGGCCCTTTGCCTGCCCCTGGGCTAATCTGCCCCACAGCTAAAGACTTTGAGCCGCAGCTGGAGACAGTTTCAAAAACAATCTCATGGTCGAATCTGAGTAGTCAGTCCCACCAGGATAGGTAGCCTTCCAGGCGCGCATCTGATTTTCAGAATCTGAACGGTCGGGCCTGCCTCTTGGGTGCGCGCCTGTGATTCAACAAGATGCCCATGCACGAGTCTTCCGGCTCACTGACTGCTGCCCTCCTGCTCCCGTTATGTGCGTATCCGTATGGATTCCCATTCCCCTGATGCCCACAGCAGTCCCATGTCTCCTCCTCTTGGCCCTCCTTGCCTGCTTAGGCCCTGGCACAGCTGCTGGTGAGGGAATGTGTATACGTGTAACACAGGCGTGTGGGCAAGTGCCAGGAATTCTCTGTCTTGAAGCTGCAGTGGAAATAAAGCAAAAGAGGTTCTGGCATCCTGTCTGGGAAGGCAAAAAAGCAGGCTCACAGCTGCCAGCCCAAGACTTTGGTTGGATTAGAAATCCTCTCACAGGTGCCAAGTTTTCTAATGCCACATGATCAGCAGCCAGTTCTTTCCCCTTGCAAAACTGGTATATATTAAATCTGAAGCAGGATCTTACTCTTTCATACCAGTATGTGAGTGCAGACTTCGGCCTGATTGGACTAGAATACCTCCTGTAACCTGGTGCATTTCAGGTGTATCAGACCACAGTGGCCTGCATTCTTAAGCATTGACTGTGGCGGATGGGAATTGGCGGCCCAAGCATTTGCAGGGTGCCATGTTGGGGAAGGCTGAGCAACAGGTTATAAGGTTTCTGCCTGCATGTCTCTACACTCAGTATCTCCTAAATTTCCAATAGCGGAAGCATGGCTTTGCACTGTTTGGGAGTAATGAATGCCAACCCTTTTAATTTAGCTGTGAGCAGATGTGTTCTTCTGGGCATTTCTCCTCATGGAAAGGAGAGCAGGTAATCCTGTTGCCCCTGATCTGCAGGTGTGAAAGACCTTTAGCTACTGGAAGCCACTTGGAAGACAGCAAAGCCAGGGGAATGAGTCAGCAGGTCATGCAGTGGAGAGCATCCTTTACAGAAGAGCACGTTGCATTTGCTGGACCCTCCCGTGCATTTCTCATGGCATGCCAGTGTCTCCTGGTCTACAATTTGAGAATGGAGAGGTGCAGACAGACTCTTACCTTTTCTTCTGCAGTTTGGATTGGGATGAGGATTTTAACAGTCCCCCTCTCTCCTGGCAGATAAAAAATGGGAGAGGCATTGCTGTAGCAGCATGCCCTTCTGACTAACCAAGGTTAATCTACATGACATGTTGTGGAATGGAGAAAGTATCTCATGGAAGAGATACTTGGAGAGCCAAAGAAATTTTGGAAGTGAAAGAAAACCTACCCGCTTCTGGTGGGATGGGCGAAAAGGGTTTATATGCTGGCTTGGTAATAATTTGCAAATAATCTCAATGCCAGGAGCCAGGTGTTCTGAAGATCTTAGAGGAGAGGGTTGAGGTGCGTTCTGAAAAGCAGGAGTGATGCCACCTCCACCCTGCTGACAGTGCTTCCTTGCCTGAAGGGGAAGTTTAGCTCCTCTTAGATCCAAGTCACAGATGAGAAGATACAGGAGCTGACACACGAACTGAGATGAGCAGTTCTCAGCCTGCAGGATCAGTCTGCCTAGTGTAAAACATGGGTTAATCCCACCTGCCTTCTATAACAAATGGGGTGTGTGCTCATTCTTAATTGACAAGAGGGCTGTCACGAGTGTCTAAGTGTTCCATCCTAAGTATGCTTACCAGAGAGTAAGTCCCATTAAACTAGGACTGCACGGTAAGGCAGATGAGCACAGACATACCCAAGCAGTGTCTTCTAGATGGAGCGTTTCAGCCACGAAGCACAAGGAGAGTCTTGTGCTGGGGCGAACAGCCCTTGTAAGGCATATCTGGAGTCACTTTCTCTAACAGATGGGCTGCTGCCACACACCTTCACTTCCATACGAACAAAACGATGCAGACTCATGAAAAAGCAGCCAATCTTCAGCTGTGTTGTGTATTGTTAGTGTATTCTTGCTGCCAGGGGTGAGAGGTGTTTGTGGCATTTTCTGCAGTTCAGGCACTAAAAGAACTTGGCTCAACTTAAACACGCTCTTCTTGGGTGGTGGTGGGACGGGGCGGGGGGGCAGGGGGAGAATGAGACTCTTGTTTCCTGTTTGGCTTCCAACAGTAAAATTTCTTTAGATGAGCCTGAAAGTCTCTCAGAAGCTTCGAGGGGGAAAAAAGGGGATGGGGTCATGCAGATACAATCATACCCATTTTATTGGTGACAGAATAAATCTGGTATACCTGCTGCCAACAGCCAGTCTCATACATCCATGCCCTGTGCCACACACAGTTCTAGTTACGCGAGAGCATGTGATTGCTCAACACACAGTGCAATTACATGTTGCTCTGCAAGTCTCTCCTGGCACTCAAATGTGCTGGGGGAGGACACCGTGCAAGGGCCTGTACCTGCCCTCCATTCATATTGCAGATGCTTCTGTAATAATCTGGCCCTATTTTAGAAAAAGAAGTCTAGCTCTTCTGTGGATGGAGATACAAGGTAAAGTGAGTAGCCAACCTTCTGCTATGCCCCTGCCCCGTGGATTTTTGACTAGGTGGAACAGTGAACAAATGTACATATCATGGGCAATCATCTTTCTTTCATGGCTCATTTGGCTTTCTCAAGAAGTATTTGCAGCCTTAATCTGCTCCACCATCCTGGTCGCTTTCCCCCACACCCCTGCCTATCCTTCTCTAGGGCTTCTTGTGCCTTAAAACTGGGCTAGCCCTTTCTGCCACCTATGCTGATACCAAGGTTAAAGGGGTGCTTGTGGACTCCAGCATTAAAAGGGGGGGGCATGTTGACAGTGTGGGAGCTAAGAGTCCAGCAGGAACAGAGAATTACACGGTGTCCATTGTATCTGCTCCCACCAGCACCTTGGTCCATTCCAGAAAAGTTGTTGCTCCTGTATGCCACCTGTAGGTGTCGCTGCTGAGTATATTACAAGAAATTAAAATGGCCCAAGTCCATGGGACTTAGGGTAGTCCTGGGGAACATGCCAGGCAGCATGGTCCATGTTAACAGTGCATCCAGCGCTCAGCTGTATTCAATGGGTACCCTCTCTCTACTCGTAGTTGGTCATTGAGCCTCCAGTAGTTCTTTCCCTTGAAAAGGTAGACCCTGCCATTTTCCCAGGTGAATGCCGCATCCAGGTGTGATGGAGCTCCTGTGAAAAGGGTGGAGATCTTCCTAGGCAGGGTGGAGAAATAGCTTCCCAGTTCATCCCATTGCCAGAAGCCGGTGCCCTAAGAAAAGAGATGATGGAGGAATTAATACAGCCCAGCTGTTGCCCCATGCTCCATTTCATCTTGTGTTTCTTCACAGGTGAAAGATAGGAAGAAATAGATTCCCTGCACATTCACTATTAAAGCATTGGCTATGAAGGTGTAGATAAATAGGAAACTACTCAGTGTTTATGTTAAAGCTTTTTTCTGTTTTTAAAAAATTGTCCAAAAGGGAAACAAGAAAACTGGGCAGTTTTAAAGTAACCCATGGGCAGCTGTCAACTGTCCATAAAGCGGCAATATCCTGTCTCCTGCCACAACTAGACCCAGTGAGATTCTTTTCAGCAAGGAGCCCTCCCTCCCTGCAGTATTCAGTCCAGTTTCCCATTTGTTTCCTGCATCTCTCATCACCTCAAAGCTTTCACCAATCTGTCAGTTCCCATATTAAGAAAACATCTGCTGTATCCATTATATCCTTTCCAAAATTCCCCGTGGTGCTCTGTGCTTATAGAACTCCTTCCTTCCTCCAACATCCCAGAAAATCAGAATACAGAAGCTGTATGGATTAGCACCAAAACATAATGCTTAAGCAGTGCAGAGCAAACACGGTTGTGATAAAAAGACACACTGCAGTTCATGAAAAATTCCGTCTCTGTTATCTACATTGCTCATGCGCTCTCCTTTTAGCATATACCTCTCACTCCTGCCTCAACAATACCCCATCTTCGTTAGCCACTGAGGTTATACCTTAAAGATGAAGATCTTCTTGTTCTTTGGCCAATAGAGGGCAGCATCTATCTTGGCTGGGATACGGGTGAGGGGTTTAGGGTAACCAGGATCCAGTTTAAAACCCCGATAACGCCACAGTTTAGTACCTGGAGCGTGAGCAAAATACAGACTCAAAGTGAAGGAATGCAAGGCAAAATTCCAGCCCACTAACAGCTATCTGCACAAACACAATCTCTGTCAGAGCTAAAGTCACTTACCATGTGCCCCTAAGTTGGCTTTTTGGCCCCCAGTGGAGCAAAATGGGCAATAAGCAACCAAGAAAGGCAGAGGGGGTAAGAGGAATAAGCCTTTGAAGGGGTCCATGGACTGCAGCCAAAAAATACTCCCCTACTCCTCCCAAAGAAACAGATTTAGGCTGCAGTGTATAGTATAATTCCATATTATTACATTGCATTTATCGCCTGTCTTTTTCTTCATAGGGGAACCTGTGTACATGTGGACAAAAAAAAGTTGTACAGCTTCCAGCATTCCCCATCCTTCTTTTGTTTTCTGTCTCAACACACTTAGGACTGCACTCTTGGATAATCTGGGGAAGGGGTCTTATTTTGCAGCTCTTGAACTCGCTGACCTTTGAAGAAGTACGTGCGCCCAGTACGGGGAGAATACACAGCCGCATCTAGCCACCCTGGCAGGCCCTTCCACAGCGCGGAGACCTTCAGCGGTGGGTTAGGGCCAAAGTCTGTTATCGTCCACACGTAATCACCACGGAAAGCGTAGGTCTTGTCATACGGCCCTGGAAGAAGAGGTAGGAGAGAGGGCTGAAGGCGAAGCAGTGGGAATACAGTCACTCCACCCTGCCCCCTGTGATTTGAGAGAAGACTGGAAGGAAGATCTGGGTTCAAATTCTACCTCAGCCTCATGGACTCACTAGAAGACTGGGCTGAGCAATTCACTGGCTCTCACACGCCATGTATGTAAATAAGAATATTAAAAATCTGCTTTACTGTGTAAATGAGGAAAAATACTGTAAGGTACTCCAGATACTATAGGAATGATAGTGCTGGACTTCATTTCCCATAATTCCCAGCCATCCTACTTCCCCATCAGGTCAGCGAAGGCTGTTCTAACAGCACATAAAGCCTCACTCGTCTCATCCTGTCTCACTCGGCACCATCTCCACCACCCTCTGGCACCTGGGCAGAGCAACTCCAGCCTCTCCTGAGCTCAGTCACATCTACCTGTCCTGGCTTGCTTCTGCTCACAGCTGCCTCTGGCTCTCTCATCCGTCCTACCTCCCACATAATTCTGTTTCAGAAGATAAAAATGGCATACAGTGACTAGAGAGGGCCACAGGTGACAACAGCCAACAGAGCTTTGACCGCTGAGCAATATAGAAAATAAATAAATAAATCTGCCTGTGAAAACCTGGGGCAGAGAAAACATGTGCTGGCACCCTTTTCTGCCCGTTCTGGTTTGGATCCAGAAGCGGGGCTGCCAGAGCGGCCTTACCCAACATGATGGCATCCAGTCCATCTTTGCATGGGTTTGGAACTTTACTAGGCTTCAGCGAGAGAACAGGGGTGGTGGTGCGGGCAGGGGAGGTCACCGTTGCCGTTGTGGAGGGAGTCTTCTTGCCTGCAAGGAAGAACAAAGACTCTAGTGATGCACACAGCCCGATGGAAAAGGGGCAGGGGAAATAATTGGGATGGGAAAGAGGGAGAAAGACTTGGCTGGCATGGTTGGCCAACTGCAAATCCTCTGGCACCGTATTGATGTGTTGGCACTCTGCCTCCTAACCCAACCGGAAGTTCATCCAGAAAGAAGCCCTGGCCGCACCTAGCAACACTTTATGTCCCCGCTGTCCAAGGAAGCTGCAGCCCAGACCATGAGTTGAAAACCACCAGCCCAGTGCTCTCTCGTGCTCCTCCTAATGGGAAACAGACGCCCCTGCTGCCAGGGCATTTTCAAGCCAGAGGAGAACATGAAGGCACATAAGCAAAGGAAAAGGAATACCAAGAAAGTGACCAACTGAGCACTGGAAAAAGGGAACATGGCAGGGAAAGATCAAGGATACTCTTTGGGAAAGTTTAGAATTAGCACTTAGATTTATGGGTCCTAAATATTTCCTGTATGTCCATTACACTGTTCATGTGTGTGAAAGACTAACTTGCATTCACTGAGAGTAGAAGAACAAAGTCTGTGCCTTGGTTTGCGCATTCACTGTGGGTTAAACACCACGCAAACAGGGTGGCATTGATTGTTGGGGGGGGGGATTACTCTCAGTTAACCCAGCAACAGCCCATGAGTTATGGACAGGTTGTTTCATCCCTGAATAGGCCATTCTGTCTGGATTCAGATGATACAACAAGCCACCACCAAGTGGGTGATTATGGAAAGGATGCCTGGCACATGCCACACCTTAAACAGTGATCATGTGCACTGCATCTACATTTCCTATCCTTTCTGGCTTCATTTAAGCATTTATTTTGAATATATAAAGTTCCATCCTGTTGTTCATAACATACTCACAGTTTTTTCATCTTAATTTAACAATAAGACAAGACAATGCAATGCAAAATTGTAAAACTCCAAGAATAAAAACCACCATGTTCATATCTTTGTCTTAGTTAGGCTTGGAAAGACTTTTTTATCAGGACTCTGGGAGGGTCACCGTGACTCCGGCTAGTGACAGGCAACCAGGAAATCCATCTGCCACCAGCACGGTCCGTAATTCCCAGGACCCCTTTCTTTTTGATGCATCTCAGTGGCACCAAGCAAGCCAAGACACAGAGCAGGGAGAGTGGGGAGGGAGCCTGAGGGCTCAACTAGCCGTGTCTGCTCCTACCCTGTGCGTTTTTTGAAGGAGCAAAGGGAGCATGGGGTTGGCAGAGCCATACCATACAGGGCCTGGATGCCTTCGATGTCGTCATGGTGCAACTGGAAGCGCGGCCGATAGCCGCCGTAGGAGGGAGCCATCAGCGCTGTCGGGTGCCGAGAGTGACCCAGTCCCAGCGCGTGGCCAATCTCGTGGGCAGCAATGATGCGCAGGTTGACGCCGCGTGAGGTCCCCTCGGTCCAGTGCTCATCCGCATCGAAGTGGACGGTGCCTAATTCGGGGATGTCAGCATGCGCCAGCACATGCCCTGCGGGAGGGAAAGCAGTGGGTTAGATCTCCACGAGGGAGCCTGGCCACTGAGGCCCCCCGTCCTGAACAGAGGGCAGGCTCTGGGCAGCACAGCAGAGGGGCCAAAGGTTTGCTCTCCGGGTGCTTTGGACTCCGGCTCTTGGAAGTCTCTGCCAGCATGGCCCATGGTCAGGCATGCTGGGAGTTGAAGGCCAAAACATCTGGAGGCCTGCTTTCAGCCTGCCCGTGCAGTACGGCTTCCCACTGAATCCTTTGCATGGCAAGGAGCCCTTTTCTACGCTGCCCCTCTCTTGCAGTAGGTCGCTTGCTTAACATCTGCTTCTCAAGGCCCCTCCTGATTGCACTCCTGCTTCAAGCAACACAGGACGCAGTGCTGGGAGGAAGCCTATTTGCCATCTAACCATCTGTCTGAATGTCTACAGTCAATTAAACTGGCTTAATTTAAACCTGGTATTAATGGGTCCCATATGCGTTAAATTTAAAGCAAAAATGAATGCATCCTCATTGTTTAAAACCTTTGTATGCTGAAGCCATGTGCTTAACCTATGAAGCTGACTGGTAGGAGGTTCAGCACAGATAAAAGGGAGTCCTTCACCCAGCACATATTTCACTGCAGAATTCACTGCCACAGGAATTGGATGGCTTTAAAAGGGATTGAACTAATCCACGGCAGAGAACACTATCAATGGCCACTCGCCTTTTTGACTATGTGCTGTTTCTGTTATCGGAAGCAGTATGCCTTGCATACACCAGTTGTTAAGTGGAGGTCTGGCACCCCTCCTGCTCAAGGGATCCTGTGGGCAGCTGGCTTGCCATCGCGTGAAGAGTGCCGGACTGGATGAACCTTTGGTCTGATCTAGCATGGCTTTTCTTGTGTGCTTATCCCATTGCTCATGATAGGAGATTGATTTGTATACATCAAACAAGGGAAAACACTTGACCTTTCTATGCAAATATGCCCCAGTATGTTAAGGAGCTGGGTATACCAGAGAGATGGGCAGACTTATTGTGGGCAGTCTATGGTAGGTTCTGCACACAAAGGCCCTTCTCCCACAGCTTCTTCCTTCTTTGTTGTCTCAAATGGTCCTGCTATACAAATGTACAACTGCATCCTCCTCCTTCCTGTGCAGTTCAGTTCCCATCAGCCCCAGCCAGCACAGCCAATGGACGCGAACACTGGGGGTTGCTGTGGAAAACAACTGGAAGGCATCTGTCTGGAAAAGGCTGCACTCTAGTCCTCAAGAGGTCTCCTGTGGTGCAGTATTTAGAGCATCTGGTGAGGCCTTGCATCCCTGCTCAGCCGTGACTTTGGGCAGGTCACCAAGTCCATCTGTCCAGGACAAGGCCTGGCACCAAGTGTCCTTTCTGCCCCTCACCACAGAGCCCTTCCTGGTTAGACTTCCAGGTCTGTCCCAAGGCATTTTGCAAAAGCCATGGGGGTGACCGCCTCCCATCTGCATACAAAGGCTGATGAGAATGCAGTGGAATCTCACTTCAACATTCAGAAGCATCTCCATCTCCGGCCACAATCCAGGCTCAGGGCAGGCCATTCAGCATGGGGAGGTCTACCTTTCAAGAGCTTCCCTCAGAGCCCTGCCCCCTCAGCACCTGCTGCCTGGGGCAGCTGCTTCACTCACCCTATCGTGAAGGCTGACCATGCAGCATATCCCACCTCCTTGCAGCACAAGATCCTCATGCCCCCCCCATTTCCCCCACCAGCCCCATCCAAGCCCCGACCCCAGCCACGCGTGGCTCCGTACCAGGCCCATCGAAGGGCCGTGAGCAGCCCCAAGGAGAGGAACCATGGAAGGAGAGGCGGATGTCAGCACGGCCAGTCCGCACCTCCTGGAAGGTGAGCCGTGTCACGTCACTCCAGTACTTGAAAGCTCTCTGGATGGCAGTCCGTGTGGCCACAACCCCCAAATCCTCATCGTGGTTGTAGATCTGGTAAGTCAGGTGCCTTTTGCGCCAGCGACCTGCAGGGGGAGACACAGAGCCAGAGGGGTTCAGATACAGGGGAGGTTATACCATGCAGGAGCAGTGCAGGAGCTGGATGGCCAACCCCAGCTCAGTCTGTCTTGCAGAAAAAGGGTGAAATATGCTATAGACTAACATCAAAAGCAATCCTCCCAAGTGTGATCACTTACTAGATTGCCAAACATCCATGCATGGGGCAGGAAGCACCAGCAGATTCAAGGCAACCTAAACATTTGCAGCCAGATAATCTGACAATCTTTCTGAGGAGGACTCCAACCTTTTGGGAAAAGAATGCCCAAAATAGCTCAAATAGCTAAGGAAGCAGAGGAAATTGAATGGAGTTTTCAGAAAAAGGACAGGGCTGGCTAGAAATCCTGAAAAGAAACACTCCACACTGCAAGATCCTATTACAGGTCCCCCTGCTGCAGACCATTCTATGACTAAAGGTGCAATGCCATCTAAAAAAAATACTTGGAATAAATCTTAGGGAAAGAAATAAATCTGACATACCCTTGAGTCAGCATGGGTAAATCTAGGCTGCGTGTCTTACCCAAGCCATGGCAATGATGGCCATTGCCTCCTGACCCTAAATCCTGGCTCAGAACTGGTTCAGAAGCCCACTCTACTCACAGTGGTGCCCCATTTATTTAAAGCCCTGCTGCCTGTGGAAACTTCATCCCCCACTTCAGTGGATTCCAAAATTACTTCCCAGGGAAGGTAATGAAGCATATCAGGAACAAGGTCCATCCTGGTGGACTGGTTGCTCACCACTAACCATCATCCCTTGCTGTGTGCATCTGCAGGAACCCAGAGGGTTGGTATGTTCTAATCTGCACTCTCAGTTCATACGGAGGCAACAGAAGGTCCTGCCTAAGCTCCCACATAATCTAATAGTGCCCCAAAGCAAGCAGCTGGGTTTTTTAGCAGACAAGCTGAGGAGAAAGAAGGCCACGCTGGTAGAAAAGTCTGAAAACCACCTCAGTGTTTCTCCTGGGCTGCCTCTGCATGGCCCCCTGACAATGCATGGCAACACAGATGGAGCAGCAGCGCAGAACACCAAAAATATGCCCAGTAGGTGGGGTGGATGAGTTAAACAATCCTCTTACCACAAACCACAGAATCCCTCTTCAAGTGGTGGCAAGGATGTTCAAAGCCTGACCAACAACACACTTTGATTTCGACACTATGATACCATTCAGCACTGGCACTATGACAAGGCAGGCATATAACTCAAGCAGACCTCAATTTGACTATCAAGAAATCCCAGTTTGGGCCAACAGTTCAGTCTAACAGAAGTGAGTTTTAATTCTTGTGTAGCCATAAGCACTTTGGGCAAATCAATAATATAGCATCATTCCACCATCTGTAAAAAGGAAATAATTTGCTTTATTAAAAGAAAATAAGCACCCTTTCTTCCTAAAACCAATTCAACATCAGAAGAGCATCTTGCAAATGCAAAATATAATTATGCAAAAAAGTGGGTGATTAAAAAGAAATAGAAAACTTAGGGACCCAAACTAATTAAAACCCTTAAACAAATACAAAAGCATTCTCCTCCTGCCAAGAAGGTATATTCCAAGCAATGGTGCTATCACAAAAATGGCCTTACTCCAGATATCTTACAAATCTGTTCACTAGTTCACCAGGAGCTTAGGATGCCTGAATAACTTAAAAAGGCATCCCAAACCTATACTGCTTCTTTGTTTCTCTCCAAATCACCATACAAATGGAGAATCATCAGAGCCCTCTGGCAAGAGCAAAGGTACCCTAGAGCAGAGTCAGGCTCTTATCTCAAGTCTGGATAAGAAGCAATATGTCCCAAACCCCACCCTTGTCTCTGAGGCTGCCAGAGGCCTTGGGGAGGGGAGGAGGCTGGTGGCAAGCACAGTGGAAACTGGCTAGTGAGCTATCAGGCACAATCCAGTACATACCTATTCAGAAGGAAGGCCCATTGATTTAAATCAGGCTTACTCCCAGGTAATGGGTACTGGACTACATCTATAAGCTCCAGCTTGGTTTTGCATAGCTGACCAAACAAAGCTTAAAAGTGTTCCTGCAGCCTATAGTGGGCCTGGTGATAAGCAGGGGCAGTCCTGGTTGAAATCTGGGTGGATGACTTAAGTGTTGTGACCTTTCCTTATGGGTGGTATAGACATGTAATAATAGCAATAACAGACCCACTTCACAGCATTGTTGTGAGGATGAGCAGGATCACTGTAAAGCATGTCCATAAAAAATGACTAAAAGTATGAAAGACAACCCCCACCCCACCCCAGCAACACAATCCTGGCAGTTCCCTTCCTCTTCCATTTGTCTGTTTTCCCTAATAGTAGGGCAGCATGCGGAGGAGAATGCCTCTGAGAATTTTCTCTAAATATTTGTTCTCCATTTATAAACTTGGCTCCCCCGCCCCGCCGTGTTGCTGATGCAAGTCTTTCGTGCAAGATTGGTTGCATGTTGGCTGCATACGGAGCAGCACAAGGCAAACCACTATTCACTATTAGGATACATTATAAGAGCAACAATTCTCGGATCTAACACATTTTCTCACATTCCAAGCTGCAAAATTCCCAGCTATGATCAGCACAGCTAGAGTCAAGTTCTGTGCATGTTTAGCCTGGAAAAAGTCCTACAATTCCAAGCACACTGAGAGCCGCAGGATTATTTTTGGTCAATACATGCATTTCTCAGTCTAAGTGTACACCCTTGCTTCATTTTTTTCACAGCCCCGGGGAAATAAATACATCTGAGGCCAATCTCACCCACCACAGGCATGGCCACATATGCCAAGAGGTCTTTCGACCCACCCCTTGTGTGCCTCAGCTCCACCCTGTGACAATCGCTCACCCAAAAGGAGGTATTTCAGGGTCCTCTCATTGAAGGGGTCTTCAACACCACAGCGGGGCTGCCGCATCTGGGAGAGGGTTGCTTTGTCCATCTGTCCAGTGGTAGGCAGCCCTGACGCCAACTGGAAGGATCTAGAGGGGTGGAAGTGGGGTGGGGAAAAGGTCAGTGCTCCACTCTGCCGTCAGGCCCACCCTGTGGAGATGATCCCCTCTCTGAGGTACACCTCAGATCTGGTATATTTTAGGCATTTCTTAAAAACTTGCCTATTTGGCCCTTCCCCCGATATGGGCCATCTTTGAACCAACTTCCAAGAGAACACCACCATTGTACGTTTGGCATTCTCTTTATAAACCACTTCGGGGGGGGGGGGGCTCAAATGAGAAGCGGTACATTAAGAACCATGTTCGTCATGATAATAATGGTGATGACGACAGTGCAATCTGTTCTGTGGTGACACGAAATTTGAGAGCACTGATGGAGCCAACTGGCATCCATGTGAGAGGCTTTGGACCTGGATGGTGTGTTTCTTGTTCAGTTTACCTCAGCGCATCTGCAATCTCCTCCTTTGAGAAGTCATCCGAGAGCTGTTCCAGTGGCTTCTGTAAGTATCCAAACTGAAGCAGAAACTCCTGAAATGGTGAGATATATTGAGAGTGCAATCCTCTTATGTTTAGATGGGACAAAGGCTCACAACTTCCAGCATGTCCCAGACAGCACAGGGCTTGCCAGGAGCTGTAGGCCTTTTTTCTGTATAAACATGCATAGAATTGTGCCTTATGTCAGCCTCCCTGGAAATACAATTCATTGGCGCTCACTCCTAAAAAACGAGGCAGTAGACACTGATGGACATTCTTGTGCAGGTCTGCCTCAGTGGCAGGCCTCAGTTTGACCAAACTTTTTGTGTAAGGCTTTCTCCCCCTTGAAATGTTTGTTACTGGTCTGGACACAAGCAGGAAACATTATCTCTTCCCCTCTTAATACTGAAATACGGAAACGAAGACTCTCCCCTGCTATCTGATTCTCAAGGTTACTTTTCTCTCCTATTAGTCCTCGAATGACTGTTCCAGTCAAATGACTGTGCACAGAAGCCAACAGTTCTTGACTCCAAGGGATTTCTCTTTTCCAGTAAAAGTTGGGCAATTCCCACCAACATCCTGTCTACTCAGCAAAAAGGAAGAGATTTGCCACAGTTCTTCTGCCCACAATAGACAGGACCATCAAATGCTTCCCACTAGAACTTACATTCTGGATGGGTTCTTAAGTAGATCTGATGGCCGGCTGGCAGGAGCACCAGCCCGACAAACAGATTTTCTTAAATAGGTCCAGAAGAATAAGCACCTGAGAAACAGGGGGTGCCACAGCCTAGAACCATGGTACAGAAATCCCCTGAAAGTTATTTGAGCTCAATCCAGACTCCTAATTTCCATCCTAATGAAGGAACCAGTTGCTACTTTTAGGGTTACAACTCTCACTCTGCAACAGGATATCTTATTTCAGCCTATCCCAAACTAGTGCCCTCCAGATTAGATGTGCTGGCTAGAGATGCTGGGAATTGAAGTCCAACACATCTGGATGGCATCAGGTTGAGGACGGTAGTCTTCCTCTTTCACCAGGCTTCAGAGACATTCAGATACTTTGAACTTTCCCAACGTTTCCAAAGTCCACATAATTAAGAAAAAATACTTTCTTCCAAAATGTTTTTATTCAATACCAATATAATATAATACCAATAAATATAAACAATATTGTTTATATTTCTTAACCAATAAGGTTAAGAAATATAAACAATTTCATTCCTATGCATGCTGAATTGTAGCACTATGTGTTCTTTCTCTGGGAGTGGGGAGATGATTTAAGCCAGAGAACTGAGCAACAGTTAACTCCCCTAACTTCAGTCCTGATCCTAAGAAGCGTAGGGGAAGAGCAGTTCCTTTCTGAAGAAAATTACACTGCAAATTTGAAGCATGGAACCTTAATGTAGTTTGCAGCTTGGCCTCAAGTACTGGGAATATGTTCCTCATCACATACAAAGAGCCCCAAAATATAACTACATATTCTGCTTTGCACAGAACATTCACTGATCTTTTTTGGAATCCACACCGTGAGTTAATGTACCCCTCATTTCAACAGAGGTGTCCCATTTTAACATCCAGGGGTTCAGAGCTGAGAGCCTAACTAACTGGCTGCAGGGGTTGATTTATTTCTGCCCATATTTGTCTGGTCCTGCCTGATTGCTACTATTGTTGGACTTGTTTGCTATAAGCCAAAATTATATAGCCTTGCATGCAGCTAAAAATCTTCTCAGTGGGATGGAAAGTTGCACATCCTGCTCATGGCAAATCAGCCAGACAACTGATTTGCCATAAGGATGGAATCACCAAGGGTAGGAGAAGAAAAAGGACTCCATGAGCAAAGAAGTGTCATGCGCTGACCCACTGGCCACAGAGAAATTGTAAGGTCTCCTTTCTCATCTAGTACTTAAGCTTGCTTTGGTTGGGAGCGACCTCCCTATAGCCCAAAGCAGGGGACAAGCCTAGCAAAGGAAAGGCTGGTTTCAGCAGTCAGGAGATAGGCCCAGAATTCCAGCGTAAGAAAACTTGTCATAGATCCAAATGGAGGTGAAAGAAGGGTAGAAAGCAGTGAGCCCAAAGCTGTGATTACGGTGGAGAATGCAGGTTGAGCTGAAAAGAGGAACTGTGGGAGGGAGGGGGGAAGAGAATTCAGCACCAGGACATCTGAGGGAACTCTTCCCCCAACTCCTTACACACACAGCAAAAAAATCCACAATTTTTGGCCAACCTCACACTGCCAGATTATCTACTTTCCATCTCTTCTTGGATCACTGCCCACCCCGTGCACATTCGGCATGGTTTCTTCCTGGAGCTATGGGCAGGCCCAGAAAACTGGAGTTTCTCTTGGCTGGGGGGATCTTCCACCAGATTTCCTGTCCCCGCTGGGGATAGGGAAAGTTCTAGGTGAGTTTTCCCTTCATCAGAGTTTAGCAAATCCTGCCAGGACTTTGATTAAGAAAAGACTCTGGCGTAAGCATCTGGATTTCAGGGATGGCTGAATTGCCAAGAAGGGAAAGTCAGGAACAAAGTCAAGAAAGGCTGGGGTTGAGGTTGAAGTCACAGGCCACTGAAGGTCAACCTATCCACACTTTTGTGTAAGATCCCTGAAAATGCTCCAACTCCAATGTCTCAGCCACAGCAATGGAAGGAAGAAGGGGCACCTGGGCCCAACCTACCAGGGCTTCTTTCTCGTCCACTCGGTTGACAGCAGCACCTCTGGCCAAGAGGGCAACAGCGCAAACCTGAAACAGCAATGCTAGCCAAGGCATCCTTGTGCCCAGTTTCTCTGCAGTCCTCAACCGCAAAAGAGTAGCAAAAGCCTCTCCTGGGAAACCGTGGAAAATCCACTGAGCGCTTCAGAAACTGCTTTTCTGGAATTCAAGTAAAGCAACTCTGGATCTCTTTCTCCTTCCTCCACCTCCTTTCTCTGCGGTTCAAGCTTTGCTCTGTCCTTAATGTTCCCTCAATCCATCGGTGCCTTCCCTCCCCCTTTTCCAAGTTTATAACTCTCCCAACAGCAGGAGTGAGTCATTTCCAACTCAAACATGTTGCAACCACAAGGCCTGGAGCCCCCTGAGAATATTAACTCTTTACAGAATAGACATTTTCTTAAAGTGAAGATCCCATTGCTTTTCTGAATAGAATTTGCCTGAAGGCTGTTAAAAGAATTGGCTGTATCATGCTGTTAAAGGCCCTGGAGCAGGATCAGTTAAGATGGTGACAGCTGTAAACATGCTAGGTGGTTAAAGAGAGAAGCCCTTCAGTGTATACTTGAAACAAACTTGGCATCATTTTCTGCTTGATCACAGGTATCCAAGGTTCTCAAGCCCCCTTCTTTTGCACCCATCCTTGAGTTACAATTTGAACTGATTGCAAGTAATCTTTGAGTAGGGCTGACCAGGTCTGAGCCCTATTCTGATCTGGGAAAGTGAAGCGAATAGTTGAGACAAATGGTAGAGCATGTGTAGAGTGCATTTACCTATTATGCCTTTCAAGCAAAATCACAGACCTGGGAGAGACCTAAGCAACATGTACCCTGTTGTACAGAAGTGACATTTGTTACTAGCAGTCTTTCCTTAACCAACCAGCCAAATCTGTGCAGTGACAAAGAAGAACTTGTGGTCCGTAAGACGAGATCTGGTGCATGCAGATGTGACCTGCAAGGCAAATAAATAAATAAATAAATGGCTGGAGGTGAGGCATCGAGGAGAGCCACGGACAGACAGCAAACTGCCTAGAGAAGCACTGACCCCTCTGGCCAAGGGCCAGGGAAGAATTCTAGGTCAAAGGACAGCATTGTCAAACGATCCCCAGCCATGGCCACACTCTGAAGCTCTTTTTAGAGAGGAGCTGCTGCTTGAGTCAGCTGTGTGCTTATCTAACCACAAGGAACTCCAAATGCATGTGCCGCTGGTGGGGGTGACTTATAGCCAGGCATTTGGGAACAGTGGGAGGGCTGAGATACCCTGAATTACTGAAGGGATTGATGAATGTGGACCAGCAAAGATCGAAACAGAAGTAGGCCAATGTCTTCAAATCAAATGGGTTTCATTTATTAAACTGGTTAAAACAACAATGGGCATTAATAAAATGCCCATTGCTGCCAGTGAGCCACATTAGCTAGGACAGTCTTGTGTAACCAGGCACCCACCTGGATTTTATTTTATTTTATTTTATTTTTATTTAAAACATTTCTATGCGCCCCCATCGCAACAAAGTCTCAGGGCAGCTCACAACATAATTAAAACATATAAATAACAAATTAATACAATTAAAAATTTAAAAACCCGGTAACATCTCGGCTTTGGGACTGTAAATTCTGTCATTCTTGATCATTGGCTATGCTGACTGGGCTGATGGGAGTTGTAGTCCACCTGGAGGATGCCAGATTGGACATGGCTGAGCTAGATGATTCCAAAAGCATAAACTGAGGAGCTGGACTATTGCCCAGAATCCATCTGCGCGAACCATGAGCCTTCCTACCAGCCATTCACCGCCATAGCCCAGTGCTCCATTTCCAAGCCGAATGCCCAGCCAGCCTGTTCCCCAGGAGGGCATGTGTGTGTGTCAATCTCATAGCAAGAGTTAAGCAAGCTGGCAGTCCTTCCCGACTCTGATTCTCCTCCACCCCTCCAAGACTTGCATGAAGGAGAACAGCACCAGCACGTTTTAGCTGCAGCAGCTCTCCTCCCAGCCCTTCCTGCCAAGTATCTGCTTAAAGACTTTTAGCCTTATCTTGACCATGTTTTTGCTTTGGCCTTGTGATAACAGTTTCTCAAACATACACAAACTTCAGGCCTGTGAATCAACTCCTGAGGGGATGATCTAGGGATGCAAGCCAGCACCAAGGGTACACACAGCTCATTGCCCAGTCAGATGCTGTGACTTACCCAGAGTGCTATGGTGCCTTGAGACGTCACGAGTTTTTACTTGCATGGTAAAAGTTGCTAGGGGTCACAGGAGCATGAAAATGTTTCTTTTCAGGGAAAACTGCTATCCACTCTTTGGTATACTCTCCTTTTTTGGCACTTGGTTGGAGTCCCTTTGTGCAGGAGCCGGCTGAGCTGGGGCTTAACAGGATGATGTTCTCACCACAGCAAACGCAGGAGGCTAGCGTAGGGTCACCAGAACAGGCTGTGTGGCACATGCAGATCTGGAACAGAATGGAGGAGGAGTCAAGTTGGAAGTCAGTTCCATCAAGTCCAAACCCCTGCTCCACTTCCACGCATGGTCACCCATCCAGCTGCAGACCTGCACCTTTCCAGCTTAGCAAAGGTGACTCAACTTGCTAGCTCGATACATAGCTAGGCAGGCGGAGAGGCAAGGGACGTGTCAGAAGTGGGATGGGAGTGGCTGGGGGCCTCAAGTGGAACAGCCAGAGAGCAGCTGCTGCCACCACCATTCCAGAGTATGGGTCAGTATTTTCCATGTCTGTCATTCTAACCTCAGTGCTTACGAGTCCTCCACATCCTGTCCACCACTGGAAGCAAAAATGACAAGATGGGGGGTGTTGTACTTCGGGCACATCATGAGCAGGCAAGGCTCACCAGAGAAGACAGTCATGCTAAGGAAAGTCGAAGGCCAGAGAAGATGAGGGAAACCAATAATGATTTGGATGGATGGCACAGCCTGAGTTTACAGCAGCTGAGCTGCGCTGTCAAGGGCAGGATGCTCCAGAGGGCATTCACTCCTAGGGTGGCCATCAGCTGGAGACAAGGGCATGTAACCACCACCACTCACCATCACCTTCTGTAATATATATCATCACATATTTCTTAAACTAGTTCAAGGCCATGACTAAAGGAATGTTGACTCAGGAAATCCAAATCACTGGAAACAGAGAGATGTGGTACAACGCAGACCCCAGGCCCCAGGCTTCTCCAGCTTACTAACATAATTTGCCCAACTTTTGTTTGCTGTCAGTGCGCACAGTAGAACTATGGAGCAGGGGTCCCCAATGTGGCACCCCCAGGACCTCCAACAGCACCCATGAAGCTCTGTGTTCCCTGTCTCATCAACACTGCATTGGTCATTAAAAACTTGAAAAAACTTAAGGTTGCCCCATTCTCCTTTCTGTTTCTGTTCCTGTACCTGCTGCTGATCTCTTCCTCAGTGGACAGGAAGAGCAGAAAAGAGTTCCTGCCTGGCCTTGCCCAGTCTTCTACCACTGACACAGACCTTTCTCTTTGCTTGCTCTCTCCCCGTTGCAAACCTTGCTGTTTCTCTCCTTTTAACCTCTTTCTTCGGTATTTCTCTCCCTTCTCCATCTCTGACTGTCTTCTTGCTTTCCTTCATAGACCCTAGCCTTGTCTGTTCTCACTCACCTCTTTACCTCATTGTTTCTTTCCCATCCTGGCTTCTCTCTTTCCCTCTCACCTACCCCTTTGCCTTGCTATTTTCCCCTTTCTCCTGGCTTCTAGCCTCACAATTTTTCTCCCTCCAAAACACATGAGATTTGCCTAGCCAGCTTCCTATGGCAATCATTATATGACTACCTACATCCTCGAGGGGAGCCATTTTATAGTGGTGTCCACAGCAATTTCTCAAATCCCCAGATGTGCCATGGGTCCAAAAAGGTTGAGGACAGATTCTATGAATAGAAAAGTCTATGGACAGATTCTGTGTTCTGATCTGATGGATTATATATAAACCTGCAACTCACCATAATACCCCATGTACATGATGAAGTGGGTTATGTTGGGAAAATTCAGATAAATCTTGGCAGAAAAGGGTTGCTTATATGTGCCTTTGTGTTATAAAATCAAATCTGCACCCCCTTTCTCAGAAAGCACCCAGTTTCAAAGCCAGGTTACTATTTAGCATTTGCTGTTACTTTAAGAAGTTGGACTTGACTTGAAGAAGCTGCCAGGGCTATTGTTTTGCTGATCAGTAAGAACTGATAAGGCTGCCAGGTTAACAGCACTGCAATCACCCTTATTTGCATGCCAAGACTCACAATAATCCCTGTGCCTCAGTGATCATAATGTTAATATCCTGCAATCAAATGCCATTGTATTGACCCCCCCCCCACCTCTCACCTTCTTCTGTGTTTCCCCTTTTTCATCAAGTGCCCAACTGCTGGGCACATGTGACTCAGACTCTATAAAACACTCTGTCCATGCTCTAAAAGCTTGTAGTTGGCCATGGAGACCATTACCCAGTATCATGCTGTGGTAAGTAACTGCAGGGGTCCTGGGTGATCTCACAAATAAAAACGCTGTTTTCAAGGGAATCCAATCTTCCCTGCGGGTCCTGAAAATTCATTCTCCACATTAGTAAAGAGACTCTGACAGTTATAATACACCAAGCTTCAGGTTACAATAAATGAGTTAGTCTTTAAGGGACCACAAAACTCTTGGTTACTTTTATGAAGAAGACACTAACTAAGCTTTTGCCCCTGTGGAAACCTGCTTTTACTTGTTCTGATTGCTCAGCTGCTTCGGACCCCCTTAATGCTCCAGAGTAAAACAGGCTATACACCTGCTTCTGGTCCACTTGGGCTGACAGCCATCCTTCCCTGGATCCCAGAAGGGAACTGACAAGCCTGGCAAGACTTGACACAGAGACAAGTGGCAAAAACAGACCTCTGAGCTCCTTGTGGGCATCTTTGCCTTGGTAGGTCATTGTGCACTGCTCACTGCAGCAGAAAACTGGGTTGCCATTCTTTGAGTGAGATGCTGGGGGAGAGCGGGGGCAGGGGTCAGAATTACATAGGAAAGTTAATGACATTGCACAAACAAAGCAGAAATCTAGCAAACAGCACTGAAGTGCCATAGTTGGTATAGATTAAAAAGCATCGCCCCTCGGGGCAGGGAGGCAAGGGCAAGTAGTATCAACAGGGTATAAAAATGGGGCCCCTCCATGGGAGAAGGAGAAGGACACACTTCTTAGTCTGCTGGCTAGTATAGAGATGCCTATAAGCCTTAGGGATGAAAAACCTCTTTCAGGCTAAGGACTGAATTCCACTTTGCAAACACAGGGTGGATGGGCCCAGAGGGAAAAGGCACAGGGCCAGAGCTTCTTGAATATTCTATTGTAAAGCTGCAATAGCCAGTTCATCTTTTAGAAATGGGAAGCAATGGTGCAAAAACTTGTTGTTGTTCAGTTGTTCAGTCGTGTCTGACTATAAGCAATCCTATGAGCCAAATCTCACCACACTTTCTGATCCTGTGCCACCTCTTTCAGGTGAACTATGCTCTGGCCCACATCCTCTCTGATGAGTCTTAACCACCTTGCTCTTTGGCCACCTGGTTTTATATCTTTATTATATCTTTTTCTTAAAAAAAACAACTTGGAAACCAAAATGTGGGGGGAAAGTGCTATGGTCATTTGTGGAACCCAAGATCCCTCATCTCTGCTGCACGGCATCATTGGAGTGAGTGAGTGAGTCTGTCTGTCTGTCTGTCTGTCCTCCTGGTGGTCCT